TTATATAATTTAAAAAAGTATATAGATGATCATTTAGATAAAAGTTTGGCGTCATCAAACATATGTATTATCTTTATTTGTATCTTAGATGGAAAAAAATATTATCTTTACTAAATTATCTAGAGTAATTTTCAGATAATTTTGGTTTAGAATCATAGCACATAAAAATATTTAAATAGTATAGAACTTAAGCAGTAAGCGATAAAAATTTATAAATAAAAATGTGAATACATGTATATTTTTATATTTCTTTTATAATTTAATCATCTTCATCTTATCTAAGATGAACTTACATATTTTTATTTCATCTTTAGCAAATTTTAAAATTATCTAAGCACAACACTGCACATCACAGTCATACAATTTTATTTTTATCCAGATATATTCAAAACAAAATCATCTTCATCTTATCTAAGATGAACTTACATATTTTTATCTCATAATTTAAAAATCTTCATCTAAGATAAATTTACATATTATTATCTCATCTTTAGCAAATTTTAAAATTATCTAAGCACAACACTGCACATCACAGTCATACAATTTTATCTTTTATCTAGATATATTTAAAACAAAATCATCTTCATCTTATCTAAGATAAACTTACATATTTTTATCTCATTCTTAGCAAATTTTAAAATTATCTAAGCACACAACACTGCACATCACAGTCATACAATTTTATCTTTTATCTAGATATATTTAAAACAAAATCATCTTTATCTTATCTAAGATAAACTTACATATTTTTATCTCATAATTTAAAAATCCTTATCTAAAATAAATTTACATATTTTTATCTCATTCTTAGCAAGTTTTAAAATTATCTAAGCACACAACACTGCACATCACAGTCATACAATTTTATCTTTTATCTAGATATATTTAAAACAAAATCATCTTTATCTTATCTAAGATAAACTTACTATATTTTTATCTCATATCTTGATCTAACTAATTTAAAATCCCCATCTTATCTAAGATAAATTTACATATTCTTATCTCATCTTTATCTAACAAATTTCAAAATCATCTAACAATAAGCACAACACTGCACATCACAGTCACGCGAACGGAACATATTGGAGGATCGTCGATTTTCCGGTTGGAAAAAATTCGCGAAAAATATCAAACCCACTCGCGAAACTCGCTCGGCGACATCCCGTAACGAATCAGCCCTGTGCTCCGACGTGCATAAGTTCGCGGGCTAAAGTTAGCACGTGCTGCAGCGGAGCCCAGCGGCGCGACGAGTCGTGTCGTTCAATGCACGACGGCGGATTTGTTTGCCGCACGTATCTATTAGCTTTGTGCGGCCGTTCACTGTCGCGTGATAAATCCGTAGCCCCGTGACGTTCTCGCACGTGGCACGGGGGAGGGGGGAATCAATCCCTTCCCCTCTCGGCTTTTTCCTTGCACCTTTTCCCCGCCGCACGATCGGCTGCATTCGCTTCCGTCTCCCTCTTAGCGCGATGACGCCTTCCGTAACTCCCGAGTGTACGCGTAAAGCGCGATCGATGCGACTCGGCAGGATCGCGTGCATCAGTATAGAGATACTTACGATGTATATGTCGCGATATACCATTATTGAGCAACGATAGCCGTCTCTTATAATATCGCGTTACGTTTGATCCTAGAGGTCGGCATCGAGAAAGGAAGTTCTGTTCGGAAATTTCGATAAATGTCTCGCGAAGTTTTTTTTTTTTTTTTTTTTTTTTTGCCAATACTGCACAACATCGATTATTGATTTGATATTATTAAAATGTACGTTATATGATGAAGAAAGGAACGGCAATTTTTTCCTCTTTTAAAGCAAGATAGCGCAATATGGCTGTGCGTTTTATCGAAGATAATTGTTGGACATTATTCTAAAAATATAATAATAGGTATATGAAATGTAATACTAGTTTTTTTACAAATTTTTTTTATTGTTTGTGAAATCAGGCAAGGTGGTTTTTATATATTTTTAGATACTGCAAGTCAATTTTCATTAGCAGAAGTTTCCGAAATAATCGAAATTTAATATGCAAAAAAAATTTTTTACGATACTTACATTTTTAAAAGTAGGTCAACGTTATTTTGAAATCTTGATCATAAGTTATGAATATATTATTCGTCCCCTCTATACAATGCATTTAAAAAAATGTTTCTACAAAAAATCTCAAATATCGCAAAAAGCAATTTTTTTTTTACATATTAAGCCTCAATTAATTTTAATGTCTGACGTGCTGGTGAACTTTGCGGTATTGTTTTCAGCATCCAAAAATCTATATAAAAAACATCTGTCTGGTTTAAAATAATTTTTAACCGTAATTGATCGATACTTTTTTTCCTGATACTAAATCGATTAATCAGTCGATGAATTAAAAAAAATGGCATAATAATATAACATTCTAAAGTTCAGTGTTGTGCTTAGATGATTTTAAAATTAGCTAGATAAAGATGAGATAAAAATATGTAAATTCATTTTAGATAAGATGATGATTTTGTTTTAAACATATTTAGATAAAGATAAAATTATATGAATTCATCTAGATAATTTTTAAGACTGTTTATATGAACACAGTTATAAAAAAATGTAAATTATAATAGGGATATAAAAATATATGCATTCATATTTTTATTTATAAATTTTTATCACTTACTGCTTAATCTCTACTATTTAAGTATTTTTATTTAACCCAAAATGATCTGAAAATTATTCTGGATAATTTAGTAAAGATAATCCTTTTTTTTCATTTAAGATGCAGATATACATGAGATACATATTTTTATTATCTACATAAAGATCAGATGACGCCAAAGTTTCATCATATATAATTTTCTAAAATCTATACATAATTATATATAATTTTAAATATAATATAAATCTGTATATAATTTTCTAAAATCTATATATAATTCTCTTTAGATAACAGCAAACACTATGCTAAGGCTCGATGATCGCGTTTCGATGCGGGCTGCATTATGCAGATGCGATTCGCCTGTGCGTGCGAATTAATGAGTTTGCCACGGCGCAAATCGACGCGAAATTGAAGCTATTATTCGCGGAACAAACGCTTTCACGGCCGCCTTTGTCGCGACTTGGAGAATTACACCGCGGCCTTTCATCAGAATCCGCCGCTGATGTGCTGTTTCACGCGGGAAACGCGACGTGTGTCCTCTCTTGTTGAACACGTCAATCGCGCGCGACGGGCATTCAGGGAAAATCTATGCGGATCCAGTATACGAATCAATGACACCCACGTGTCTCTGTTTTTCCTCACGTGTCACTCGGCCGGGTATCGCGAACAGGCCACTCGCGTCGATAGACAGTCGCTTTTTCATTGGGAAACGATATTCCGCAAGCACATCCGTCCTCAATCCGTCTCGAAATGTTAATCGTCATTTATTCCCGAGTAAAGTTTACCGCGATTTTAATTCGCGAGAGAAAGATGGACAGGGTGTATATACTCCCGGGATAACCTGGAATTCTCAGGGAATTTTTTTCTATCTTGAAAAATCCTAGAGTATACTCATAGAATTTTTCATGATTTTATTTTCAAATATACTTTTGAGGAATATAAAATTTATTAGGTTTATATAAAGTATGTATATTAAAATATATATTTTATTGTAAATTAAATATTATATTACGTTAAAAAATATTTTATTTATGTTAAAAAATTATATATAACAAAAATAAACTAATTTTAAAATTGTATTTAAAATTTTTTGAAATACTTGAATTTTGAACAAAAGTCTGGTGAAATTTTTATGAATGGAAGATGTGAATTAGATCGAGAAATTCGGAGTAGAAGAAACGCGAAGGAACCTAAAATATCTTTTATACACATGTATACGATTATGATAACGCAATAGTGTTCCCCTTCCTATTTTCTTGTCCAACAATAAGCTCATTTTATGAGAGGGCGCGAGTTTTCGCGGAATATAAATATTTATAGGTTCGACTGGAACTAGAAGGCAGAAATACACGAGCATGCACCCACGCGTCCAGTTTTAAGACGTTAATGAACGCTCAAGGGAGTAATTGACCTCGCGGATTAAATTGGATCGAAGGTTTTCTCGTCCACGATAAAGACATACATTATTTCGCAGATCTTTCTTGACTTTCTCGCTTCATTGAGCCTTATGACACGTTATTTAGAAAATTACACATGTCTTTACACGTTATTTAGAAAGTCACAGATGTCTTTACACACTTACAGCTTACACTTTCAGTTCTATATAAATGGTTACAATATTATAAAATATTAGTTTTCACTGTGTATTTGTCAGATATACGTATATCTAATTAGAAATAAAATTATGCTAATAATTTTACAACACTTAAGAAACAATTTCCTCAAAATAATTACTTATTGCAGTTTCTTAATCGCGAAAAGATGCATACAAAATGCATGCAAAATTATATCACCGAAATTCAATAATATTGAATAATTTTTCCATTTATATCGCGTTATATTGAACTGCCCTATTGTTCAATATGTATAAATCTACCGAAGATTTAATGCTTTCACAAACTGTCACTTGCACATTCCACTCAACCACCTATTCTGCACGCGAAATCCGTTTTCGCGGCTTCCTCCAATTTGTTCGTGTCATGGAAATTATGGGGAGACTCTGGATTCTCTCGGTGCTCCTATATAATTTGAACTAGGACGCCTTAAAGCGGCTCCCTCAAAGTCGTTCAAGTACCTGGAATTTTATCAATCATTCCTTTACGTGTAAAGCTATATTGCTATTTCATTTTTTTAATTAAAAAATTTTATCAAGCATCTCTTTACATTCTATCGTATACATAAAAAAATGATTAAAAACTTATTATATTAAGTCAATTTCCTTATTTAAAGAAAATTTCGTAAGGTAAAAATATATTTTATAATAACAGTTAATTGATTAATATCGTATTGATTTAATTTTTCATTACTTTTATTATTCAATAAATAAGGCAGTTATATTTTCTTGTACTCTAATGCATTTTTTCTGTTTTTCTGTTACAGAATTGCCAGCTGAGGAAGGTGAGTATATCGATGGCCATCGACTTCATGTCGTGATGTAGAAGATAGGTGAGGTCTTGCGACAAATTGACATTTATATAATACAAATTATTCCCGATGGAGCGAAACAAACTCGTAAAGCAGAAACACAAAAAAGACTTTTATTTATTATTTTTTTATACTTTTATTTGCGCAAAGAGTTTTGAAAATCGTAGATACATATATGAATTTTTGAAATTCTTATCTCAATTTGATCATTTTAATTTCATCCTCGCTAGAGAGGTGAAAGACTTTTAGACGCCACATGAACACATCCGTTATCAAAATAGGCCAGTCCGGAGCTCCGTAAGCTCCAAGAATTAGCTTTGCATGCACTATAATTGAATGCACTTGTGTATGCATGCACACATGCGAGAGCAACCGTATCAGTTTGCTACTCGAGGAAATCAAAATCGCTTTCTCAGCTTCACGGAATTCTCTCTTTAAGATTGCAATTAAATCTACAATATCAATCGGGACGAGAAGGTAAAAACTCATTCATGGAAAAGTAATATATAATATGCACATATAACCTTTTATTATTTTCTGATTATTTTTCAATTCCTTTAATAAATGTCTTCTTTATTCCATTTCTCTTTTATGTCATCAATAATCTGTACTTAATAAGTATAATCTGACAGATGAAAGATATTTCACGTAAAAGATTTATTAATTCTATATTCCGAGATTTTATTTATCAATAAAATTGAGATGAAAGTAAAAACTAATTTATGGAAAAGAAATATAATTTTTTTAAATATATTAAAAATGAAAAAAAGAGAGAGAAATATATAATATACATATATCTTTTTATTATTTTTTAAATTCTTTTAATAAATTTCTTCTTTATTCCATTTCTCTTTTATGTCATCGATAATCTGTACTTAATAAGTATAATCTGACGGAAGAAAGATATCCCACGTATAAAAACCTTATTAATTCTATATTCCGAGATAATTTTATTTATCAAAAATCTAAAGATTACGGCAGAAAGAGATTAATACAAAATTCTTGAATATCAAGAAAAAAATGTGTAACAATATAAAAACTTATACTTTTTTACATTTCTCACGATCGGGATGAAAGGCCGCTCGAATGTAGACGCCACTTTACTTGTGCCCTATTATTACTCACTGCACTTGCCCCATTTATCCGTATCGAAAGACACCGCTGCATAGTGTCGCCTTCGACTCGGCCGTGATTGCATCGGCATTGCACTCGACCCGCGCGGAGGCTCAGGCTATCTTTCCGTCGACCTTCGGCGATGGATCGACCCGCCGTAGTTGCGGCTCTCGCTATTCGCTCGGCGTTATTATTATTCGCGACGAGCTATCGTGTACAAGGTGTTTCAGGACTGGCGGAAAAGTTTCCAATGGCAGACTCCTGATATCATTTGGAGACGATTTTTCCTCAGCGAAAATGTCGAGACACCAATAACAGGGTGTCAGCAGTCAGAGAAATCTGGAAAACTGGATATTGTCAGAGAATTTTATAGGTCTGGAATTGTCAGGGAAAAGTCAGGAGATTTTATTATTTATCTGGATTTTTTCACATTTTATATTTGTCTCAATAATTTGAAATCTTTTATTAAATAAATATAAACTTTTTCTTTACTCCCAACACGCTAATTTTCTGTGTTGTTAAAATCGATTCATCTACAGCGTGTTTGTTAATTTATATTTTCATCGTCGTGTTATTTTATTTCAATGTGTTTGATAGAGACAAAACTAAAAAATTTGATATAATATAAATAAAATAGGTGATTATTTAAATAGTTTATAGTGACATGTTTGTTTCGAATATAGTACATAATACAGATTGTATAATTGATTTAAATTTTTGTTTGTTTTCATGATTTAACATTTAATTGATTTATCATATAGATATCTGCAAATTATATATATTATAATATATTAGAAAAATTAATACTAAAAAGTCAGGGAAAAATTAATTTCTGATCTTGGAAAATCTGAAAAATTCAGGGAATTTTTTCATCGAGTCTGCTGGACACCTGTATAAGCAGTAGAAAATATAAAGGTTTTTTTTTTAAACCAAGCCTTGTAGAAATAAAATATTCACAGAACTACATTCTTCAGTTAATTTTTACTTTAATAAAATTTTAATATAAGACTTACTTAGTTATAAAGATACAGAATAGCAAAAATTGGGAACATGCTAAAAATGATGGCTTCCCTCAACATTTTTACTAACAATAAGGAAAAATCGTCTCCAAATGATACCCGGAATCTGACATTAAAAACTTTTCCGCCAGTTCTGAAACACCTTGTATATAGAGTAACAAAAATTGAACGATTCGCGATATAAATTTTTATGTTCTCATCAAATTTTAATTTTAATTTTTTTATGTTCTCTTATTTGATTTTTTTGGCGACTCGAGTCTTCCGAATAATGCTAATTAGGCCGGGATTGTGAGATCTCTTGATTCAAACTTAGCGCAATTTCAATTACCAAGTTTATATGGGTTCTATTCATGTTTGTGAATAAGATAAGAAAATTACATCGCGTTCGTGTTTCGCGAAAAATCATGTTAACCTCCTTTGATAAAATATTTCCGCATTTTCGGAAACTTTATTTTTGCAGTAGCGAAAGAGGTAAAAATTCGAGCCGGAATTAGCACGATATTATTTGATACCGTATAATCTATCTTATCAATTTATCTTTGATGAAGCCAAAAATATTTAATGTCGCAGAGACTGACTCACCGATCACCGAAATATTACATCTTTAAATAGATGAACCTTAATAAAGCTAATCTAATTTTCACGCGATTACACGGAGAGAATTTTCTTTTAGAATTTATCCTGAAAATCATGGTAATCGTGGAACAAAATGGTATCGGAAAAATTTTATAAGAGTCTCTCTGATTAAATATTTATCACAATAAAAAAATATTAATATGTACATAATAAAATTAATCGAACATATTTTATTGTAGAAGATATATTAGCAATTTTACTAAATTAGAAATTAGTAAATTCTAAGAGCAAATTCTTTCTATGTTCTTGTATGAATAAAAAGAGGAAATGTGTATATAACATTGAAATACGATAAAACATATAATACACATTTGTTAAGTTTAATAATCAATTTAACGACATGTCAGCTGTTAGGTCTTAATAAAACTCTAATTTAATTTTTAGTTAGTCCTTTATTAATTAACATATTAATAGATAATTACAAACTTGCATTATATATAAACCAAGTTTGTAAAAAATTATATATAATTAGTAAAGCAAATAATAAGATATATACAATATTTAACAGAATGTAAACAAGTCTATAAATAAATTGTAAATATTTTAGATAAACATATATCCCGGAAAATATAATAGGTATACATATGAGTAAATATAAACCGAAATACAAGCAAATCAACAAACAAATTTTATTTTGAAATGTAAAATGAGATAACTTTACTATTTTATTATAATAAATTTTTTATGTGCATTTTTGCAATATATATATTATAATAATACCGTTGTTATTTATTTTCTCCGTGAAAGATTTGTGAGAAAAATTTTTTCTAATTAGTGTTTTGCGAAAAACAAAAACAATATGTAATAATTAATTGAGACAAAGAATTCTAAATTAAATTTAAGTTTAGAAAATCGAGAAGATAAAAACGATAATAATTTTATATGTATATATAATTACTAAAAGTTTCCGAAAAATGCGGAAATTTTTTATCAAAGGGCTAATGTGATTTTTCACGAAAGTAGAACGCGACGTAATTTTTTTATCTTATTCACGAGCATGAATTGAAGCTATATAGACTTCGTAATTGAAATTGCGCTTGTTTGAATCAGAGAGATCTCACAATCCCGGCCTAATTAGCATTATTCGGGAGACTCGATTCACCAAGAAAATTAGCATACGACAAATTGCAGAAGAGTATTTTCGACAAACCATGCTCCTTCGCAAGTTCGAGTCTCGACAAAAATTTACTTGTAATCGACAATAAGAAGAGAAAATATATACGCTCGTGACATATATGTTATCAGGATTAGAAGAACGCGTGATCAGAGATATTATTTTTTTTTATTTGCGTTTTCAACGTAATCTGACGAAATCTTCGGAAAGTGATCAAGGTCGTATTAATGAGATTCTCGTCATAATTAATCGCGCGATCGGTTACAACCATCATCCTTGTGCATGTCTGTGTCTATAACGCTCTATCGACCGAATGACAACATCTATTGTCACACGTTGAATCCGGTAATGAAACATGTTGTCATATATGTATGTAGGTGAGAGAATGAGGGACGAGAGAGACAGAGAGGACGACGTAGAGAAATGTGTACCGATGTGTGTGGCACGTCGTATCACGATATTAATTTCCGAGACGCGGTGGAGTATGTACCGAGACATTACACAATGTAATTTATGTAACGAAATGTGCGCGTTACGCAGATTTGTACCGGTCGAAACGTTCATTAAGAGATACGATCTTGATATGTATGAGAATCATAAAAAAAATGTAGGTACACAGAAAAATTTGTTTTCCTGTTAAAAACGGCTCTTATTAAAATTTTTGTGTTAAATATTTAACACATAAATGTGTTAATTTAACATATTGCTGTTGTGTTAATGAACTTAAATTATTAAAACAATTGAAAAAAATCTATTTTTAATTTTGTACAATAAATATGTTCTGTTTTATTGGTGACAAAATTTATCTGTCAAAATTTATAAAAATATTTATTTCTTATTTTATAAGTGAGGGATGATAAAATAAATATTTGTACTGGTCAAAACGTTCATTAAGACGCGGGAGAGATGATCTTGATATGTATGTGTCAAGAAAAGTATTAAAAAAATGTACACAAGAAAATTTGTGTTTTCCTGTTAAACGGCTCTCATTAAAATTTTTCTGTTAAATATTTAACACATGAATGTGTTAATTTAACATATTGCTGTTGTGTTAATGAACTTAAATTATGAAAACAATTGAAAAAAAATCTATTTTTAATTTTACATATGTTCTGTTTTATTGGTGACAAAATTTATCTGTTAAAATTTTAAAAATATTTATATTTTATTTTATAAGTGGGAGATGATAAAATCATAATTAGTAATACTTAATTATGATTTAAATCATTATTAGTTTTGGACTAATGTATTTTTAAACAATATATTATCTCGTGTTTAATTATCTTAATCTTATTAATTTTTTCTCTCGATTCTTTGTAACTAAAAATATTAAATGTTATATGTTAGAATAACTCTTTCAGTCAATGTGATTATGTTATATATGTGAAAGTATACGTGTATATGTGTCTCAATTTAAAATATTGTCTTAATATACGTATGCACAATTCAATAAAGCTTCGATTAATCTGGTCTGGGCATACATTAATTTAATTGTTTGAATGAAAAATTTTAATATCATATAACTGTTTCTTTTTATTACTTAATGATTTAGTTCAACTAGCAGATCTAAACAGATTTGTTGACTGTCTTTATTAATCACTTTTTTATTGGTGTCTCCTTTCTGACTTGTGAATGAATCACTGTGATTCACGATTTCTATCTACATATATATACACATATTATTATACACATACTTATTTAATTTTATTTTAATTATACTAAAATTACTTAAATTATCACATAGTATAGAAAAAAATATTAGATCCTGCCGCTACAAGAAAATTTATTTTATTATATCAACATTTTTTAATAATTACTATTTTTTATTTTTCAATATAGAAATTAATAATATAAAAAAAAACACTGTCTCCAGCTTACACACATACACACACGCATAATGAGAAAAATTCAAAGAAATGAAAAGAAGAAGAGAAAGCTCCACTTTCTCGCAATTATCCCAATCATTATTTTCGCTCCTCTCTCTCTCTCTCTCTCTCTCTCTTCGTCGTTACTGTAAATTACAATTAATGAAATCGTCAATCGTAAAACGATGACATGACGTCAATCGTGTGCTGGCAAAAGTCGTCAAGGACTTGCCCCTGACTACTATCATTCTTTCACACACACACACACACTCTATTTTCCTTCAACGCTGACGTTGAATGCGTCAAAATGAGATTGCGTCTGCTTTTACGAGGACCTTTCCTCGTAATATCAAATTAACTTAACGTGGATCCACGTCACAAAGCACATGTTGCTTTAGATTTAAATAATATCTGTAGATATGACGTGTGCAATAGCTCGCGTTGCAAATAAGCTTCTTTAATTTAGCAATTACTCTGAAGTATCTAATGGCGGATGATTTTATAATATTACCGAGATAAATAATTATAGATAAAATAATTTCTTATTTGAGAATATGTAGCAAGCAGTATAAAAGGACATTTTTATGTTTAAATAGTTACGTAATAGAGTATTTTTTATTGAATTTGATAAAATATGAATGAAGAAGCAGAATGAAAAGAGACAATTTTTCTCGTGCAACATTTGCCGTGAACTTATGATTATTATTGGAAACAAAAAGTTTTTTTTTTTACATGTAGGAAATGTCAAGGAGATATATATATATATATTTTGCAAAAGTGTGCTGCTTCTGAACTAATTTAATTTGAAAGCTAGTTAAATTTTCAAATTAAATTAGTCGCAGAAATGTCAATGTTAATTGTCAGCTGTACAAAACAAGTGGATTGTGTAGTTAATTGTAGTACACAATACTGAAATCAATATGATTCGTAACAATACATCATTGTTCACGCTCTTGTATTATCAAAAGAAACTATCTCAAAGTCTATTAAATATATTAAACTATATACTTGTATTATTAAATTAATAACATCAAACTAAATATCTAGATTATTATTATTTGAAAAATTAGCTGCAATTCGATAATTAATGTACAATTTTTATGTAGATTTAATGTCAATTTGTCGCAGATCATTTATATCATAATATTTTTTGCAAGAGGAGGTATTTGATTAAATACAATATACATATATACTAATACTTGTTTATGAAAATAAATTTAGCCAGTATTATTATGAACTATGAGAAATAATTTCTTGAAGAATTAAAAATTTTTTTTTTTCATTTCTGTGCCTTAAACGAGATTATTAATATTTCATTTATTTTTTGCTTATAGGAAAATCCATCTGGCAACTCGTTCTGGAACAGTTCGATGATCTTCTAGTTAAGATTCTTCTATTAGCCGCTATTATTTCTTTTGTAAGTATATAAGATACAATATTATACGATTAAAAGAAATATATCTCTTATATAATATGAGATTTAAATAATACAAAAAATGTGGAGTTCACCTTTCACAAAGAAATAAAAAAATAAAAAAATTAGTACAAAAAAGATTGAATTATGATCGTCATTATTATTATAAATTATGGATACGAAGGTTAAAAGAGAGATAGATGGCCTAATCTTTCACAAAAGCTGTGACGGATCAAATGATTTAGAGATGTTCTTTTTCTTTGTCAAATTTTCCGGTATATGACGCTACGCTAAAAACATTGTAATTATATGTTTATGGGGGTTCAAGGGTAAATGAGGCTAAATATATCTTCCACGAGATGTGAAAAAATAGCATATTGATTTCAAGTAGCCGTGGTGATCTGATTTTCTTTCAGCGCATAAGAGAAATGCGTAACATTTACTATGGAATCTAATTTGCAAAAGTGAAGTACGTGCAAGTTTATCACGATAACTAATTTGATTTGATTTCTTTCCTGTACTGCTTTATATTTGTTATTTCTTTGTGAAAAATGAACTCTACAGTTTTTACATTATTTAAATCTGATATTATGAAACAGATATATTAATATTATTGATATACAGGGTGTCCCTAGGAAATTGCTGAAACTAATCAGCTGTCATTTTTTAATGCATGTGGCTATTGAGAAAAAAAAATTGCGTTTGTTCGAGTTTCAGTTAAAAATAATTGAATAATTGACCGAACGAAATTCTCGCATTTCCTTTTCAAAGCACTCTATTTATCTTTTTTTGGTGTTTTCGCTCGCGCGGCTCACAACATTCCTTTCTTCGCTTTTTTGAACATCATTCATAGCAATTCTATTCATAGTTATTACTAAGAACTGTTTAATTTTTTTGTTGCGATATCTAATCGACATCGCAACGAAAACAGTGTTGAAAAGAGCAAAGTCTACAGTTTTCAATGATATAAATAAAATGTTTGTATACCAGTTTATTTTATTGAAAAAAGTGTTAATAATTACACATGTAAACTAATGATAAATATTTTCGAAGTGCGCACCGTTTGAATTTGTACAAAATTCTGTTCTTTTACGAAAACTCGTAAAAACTTTTTCTCTGTCATTTTTAATGTTATTGACGATTTTTTTAATAGCTGCTATTAAATTTGCCACTGTTAAATATATTTATCATTAGTTTATGTGATTTTATGTGATCATAAGCACTCTTTACATTACTTTTTATCAATAAAATAAACTGGTATACAAAAATTGTATTTATATCCATTAAACAATTTCTGTTTTCTCAATAATTGCATGCATTAAAAAATGACAGCTGATTTCAGCAATTTCCTATGGGAGATACCCTGTATATTATAACTAATATTACTATAAAATAACTAAGATCGAGTGGTTCACATCTTTCTATGAGTTTTAAATTTTGAGAGACTACTGAATAATGCAAATAAATACTATTAATCTGTTCTTCTTCTGCTCAGGTATTAGCCTTATTTGAAGAGCACGAGGATGCGTTCACGGCCTTCGTCGAACCCTTCGTTATCCTGCTCATTCTCATCGCTAATGCCGTAGTCGGTGTCTGGCAGGAACGGAACGCCGAGTCTGCGATAGAGGCGCTCAAGGAGTACGAGCCTGAGATGGGTAAGGTCGTACGAGGGGACAAATCCGGCGTCCAGAAGATCCGGGCCAAGGAAATCGTGCCCGGCGACATCGTCGAGGTGTCGGTCGGCGACAAGATCCCGGCGGATATCCGTCTCAGCAAGATCTTCTCGACCACCCTGAGGATTGATCAGTCTATCCTGACCGGCGAGTCGGTGTCCGTCATCAAGCACACCGATCCCGTGCCCGACCCACGCGCTGTCAACCAGGTTGGTGAAGCTACAGCTGTGTGAATTTTTAGAAAAAAAAATAATAAATAAAATTCAATTTATAATTAAAATATTTTTATTGCGCTGAAGAAAGCTTGAAATGTCAGCCGCAACGTTCGCAAAATGTTTATTTCTTATGTATTTATTATTTGGTTTAAATAAATTTTATTAATATCAACTGTCAACTGTATTATGTTTAATAGCTCTTCTTTGTTTACAATTATTAAATAAATAAAATGTCCAAAATATTATTTATATGGTGAATATTCGATTATACAGCTAATCTGTATTATTGACGAGCTCCAAAGAGTCTTTATGAATTGTTTTCATTATGCTTCTCTAGGACAAGAAGAACATCCTGTTCTCCGGTACCAACGTTGCCGCTGGCAAGGCCCGCGGAATCGTCATTGGAACCGGTTTGAACACGGCCATCGGTAAGATTCGTACGGAGATGTCGGAGACCGAGGAGATCAAGACGCCGTTGCAGCAGAAATTGGACGAGTTCGGCGAGCAGTTGTCGAAGGTCATCTCCGTGATCTGCGTCGCCGTATGGGCCATCAATATCGGTCACTTTAACGATCCGGCTCACGGTGGATCCTGGATCAAGGGCGCCATCTACTACTTCAAGATCGCCGTCGCTCTCGCCGTAGCCGCTATTCCCGAGGGTTTGCCCGCTGTAATCACGACTTGCTTGGCTCTGGGTACTAGGCGTATGGCGAAGAAGAACGCCATTGTACGATCCTTGCCGTCCGTAGAAACTTTGGGTTGCACGTCCGTCATCTGCTCCGATAAAACTGGCACTCTGACGACTAACCAGATGTCCGTTAGCCGGTAAGATGATTAGACAAGAATATATTTTTCCCATTCCTTAAATACACAATATGAACTGACTAATGCATAATTTTTTATATATTTACAGAATGTTTATCTTTGACAAGATCGACGGTAACGACAGCAGCTTCCACGAATTCGAGATCACTGGCTCGACTTACGAACCCATCGGCGAAATCTTCTTGAGAGGACAAAAGATTAGGGGACAGGATTACGAGACCTTGCACGAGATCGGTACTATCTGTATCATGTGCAACGACTCTGCTATTGACTTCAACGAATTCAAACAGGCATTCGAGAAGGTTGGCGAGGCCACGGAAACCGCGTTGATCGTTCTCGCCGAGAAAATCAATCCGTTCGGCGTGCCGAAGACTGGCCTGGATCGCCGAACCACCGCCATTGTCGTCAGGCAAGATATGGAGACAAAATGGAAGAAGGAATTTACATTGGAATTCTCGCGTGATCGCAAGTCTATGTCGTCGTATTGCGTGCCTCTGAAGCCAACGAAACTGGGAACCGGTCCGAAACTGTTCGTCAAGGGTGCGCCGGAGGGTGTCTTGGACAGGTGCACGCACTGCCGCGTCGGTGGCCAGAAGGTCCCGCTCACCTCGACTCTGAAGAATCGCATCCTGGATCTGACCCGACAATACGGAACCGGTAGGGACACGCTGCGTTGTCTCGCACTCGCCACTGCCGATCATCCGATGAAGCCCGACGACATGGATCTCGGCGATTCCACCAAGTTCTACACGTACGAGAAGGATCTCACGTTCGTCGGCGTAGTAGGCATGCTTGATCCGCCTCGCAAGGAAGTACTCGACTCGATTGCTAGGTGCCGCGCCGCCGGCATCCGCGTAATCGTCATCACCGGCGACAACAAGGCCACCGCTGAAGCTATTTGCCGACGTATCGGAGTCTTTGGCGAGGATGAGGACACCACTGGTAAATCGTACTCCGGACGTGAATTTGATGATTTGCCCATGGCGGAGCAGAAGGCCGCTTGCGCCCGAGCTCGTCTCTTCTCTCGCGTAGAACCGTCTCACAAGTCCAAGATTGTTGAGTTCTTACAAAGCATGAACGAGATCTCTGCCATGGTGAGTCTTCAAGTCTTACTACTTCTAGTTATTTAAAGATAAATTGTTATTGTTCTTAAATTAATAATATAAACGTGCATTTTTAGCTTTAGCCAATATTTTTATTCAAATTAATGTCCTTATAAAAGATTGCAAAATAATTTTGCGTTGTTTCGCAGACTGGTGATGGTGTAAATGACGCTCCCGCTTTGAAGAAAGCCGAGATTGGTATCGCCATGGGTTCTGGCACTGCGGTCGCGAAATCTGCTTCGGAGATGGTGTTGGCAGATGACAATTTCTCCTCTATTGTAGCCGCCGTAGAAGAGGGTCGTGCTATCTACAATAACATGAAACAATTTATTCGTTATCTCATTTCTTCCAATATCGGCGAGGTGGTCAGGTATTAACAATACAAGATATACGAGTATGCAGTGAAGAAAATTACAAATTAAAATTAAAATTCGAATTTAATCGATAATTTATTTACACGTTATTTTGCAGTATATTCTTGACCGCTGCCCTTGGTCTTCCCGAAGCTCTTATCCCGGTCCAACTTTTGTGGGTCAACCTGGTTACTGATGGTCTTCCAGCTACCGCTCTCGGCTTTAATCCACCTGACTTAGACATTATGAGCAAAGTAAAGTCAAAAATATACGTCGTTATATTGTTGAACTTGAATATATTGTTCAATATTGTTACTTGTATCTTATGATTGTGCGTTTCTTGCAGCCCCCTCGCAAGGCCGGTGAATCATTGATTTCCGGATGGCTGTTTTTCCGCTATTTGGCTATTGGTGGATACGTAGGTGCTGCCACTGTCGGCTCAGCTGCTTGGTGGTTCATGTACAGTCCGAACGGTCCTCAATTGTCCTATTATCAAGTGGTAAGTTTCGACAAAAATTTATTCACCGCTAATTATAATTATCATTATTTGTATTGACAATTATATTGTGGAATTGTTTCTTGTAAATCTAATTTGTCTAATGCGTCGCTTATATAAAATATAGACTCATCACTTGGCGTGCCTTGGTGGCGGAGATGAATTCAAAGGCATCAACTGCAAGATCTTCTCTGATCCTCATCCCATGACTATGGCTCTCTCTGTGTTGGTCACTATTGAAATGTTAAACGCCATGAACAGGTAAGAAAAAACTCGTTATGTAATTTGTGTGAGATTTTTTTTTTTTTAGAGTTATATATAATACAATCTGCATTTCTTTATTATAGCTTGTCTGAGAATCAGTCGCTCATCAGTATGCCGCCTTGGTCCAATTTGTGGCTCATCGCCTCCATGGCTCTTTCCTTCACACTCCATTTCGTCATCCTGTACGTCGAGGTTCTTTCGGTAAGTACTGTTTTGTACATATCAAAATTATAGCAAGCAGATGGTCGAGGAATCTTAATCTTCCAGCAGCTCGAAGTGCGTTGATAGTCGCACATAAATTTGAAGAATTGGAAAAATTGTGAACTCTATTGTTTTAGGCCGTATTCCAAGTTACCCCGCTAACGAGTGAAGAATGGCTTACCGTTATGAAGTTCTCCATTCCAGTGGTACTTCTCGACGAAACCTTGAAGTTCATTGCCAGAAAGATCACAGACGGTGAGAATCCAATTTACACCGTACATTGGATCGTTCTAATGTGGGCTGTGTTCTTTGGACTGTTGCATATCTGTCCCATATAGAACGTCCGCGAAGTAATAATAATTAATCTAGCATATGATGTTCTTTTCCTATGGAAAAGCATCCGCGATTATAAATCCTTGGACTCGCAATTGCATTTAACTGAAGCTCTTCCCACCGTGACGCGGGAAGGCGCGAGATAAGTTATTAACAGAGTGCGTTCAAGTGAGATTTTAACAAGTTTGACTGTTGTGCATGGTGTTAGTACGATACCATATGTATATGAGATACGCCTCCAAGGCCCACCATGCCCGCATCACACACCGTACCCCGGCGTTGCTCAACGATCACGGGTTTTCGAGTGGCATCGAGTGATCTATAAAGAAAGACCTCTCCCTCAGCGTAAATCAAAGATGTGTGATCGTTCAATTATTTTTTACGAGTGCCTTTTGAACATTGAATTTTCTCTGCAACCAATACGAAATTGTTCGTAGATGTTCTTTCCGATGTAGATGTGTTTGATAACGTCCCGATCCTTTTACTTTGTGCACTGTTGTTTTTTTTTGCGCCTATTCTGTTTTTTTTTTTTTTAATATGCACTTTTCGATATGGGTTGCAATTTGATTGAATTTGATAAATTGGGGTATCAGTTCTACAGCACATCAATCCATAATTTAAACCCACGTTGATTTATTGCACGCATTTCTCCATCTGCGTTTCATGCCGATACTTAATAATATTACGACACAAATTTTTATATCTGTGCATATTCGCGGGATGTATAAATTGATCTCGATTGATGTGGAAAGTACAAAATACAGCCTGTTATGATATCATACCGGAAATAATAACTTCGGTTTGTAGCACAGATTCGTGATATGAGCAGAGGCATTCCTATTTAAAGTAAATAGACGCGTTTACACAACGAAGACAATAAAACATTCGGCAGAAACGCAGATGAGAAATAAACAAGTCTTATAGTAATGGCTATATTTATATTTGATTTCGCTTTTCCCCTGGTTGTTATTTTCAGATTGAGTTTAATGCACCACGCACGCAATATATTCGATTCACGCGATTCCACGTACACTTATTGTTTTTCATAAAGTTTCCACTTATATTTCTTTCCCGTTGCTTTCAATGTTGCTTGTTATAAATCACCTTTATTGATGGATTCTCTTAGTGTCTGGTGTTCCTGTTTCAACTCCGAAGTCAAAACCGAAGCTGTCTGAACGTTTGCTGAAAGGGAATGCAACAACTTTGCACTAACGGATCTCATTTTGTGTCCTATATATTGTGTCTTCCTTCCCGTAGAAAATAATCCATGCACGGTATAATTAACAGCACGTTTTTGTAAAATCCTTTCTTATCGCAATCTTTTTAGTAATTATATATCCTGTTGTGCCATGCGATTAATGAACGATTCAATTGCGCGCGTTAGTTAAAAAATATGCGCTCAGTAAATATCTTAATTAATTAATATAAGTAAAACAGAAAAAAATCATTTTCTGTTTCCAATGTCTTCATGAATTAATTTCTATCGACATTTTTTATTTATATGTCATACTGTATAATCTGATCGTGAACAAATTGTGAAGTGAAATTTTGTAAATATATATTTATATCTAAAATCGATCGTAATTGGCACAGTAGGATTTCTTTTGGAATAATTTCTTATCCTGGTTTGCGATAGCATCTGTTTTCTGTGTGTATAATCTATATATACACACACATATATATATATATATATATATATATATATATATACATATATATGTATATATATATATATATATGATTTAGTATTTAAAAGATTTATGCAGTACAACGTACATTCGTGTATCGATAATTTTCGGATATGGACTGCAGAGATTCGTAAGTGTAAGATAAGACAACCGTCAAGCGAAGGAATATCTAATATAATTGACCTCATTATTATTATTTTATTTTATTTTTCTTCAAAACGCGCAGACGAAGCAGTCCATAGATTTTATAATACATTTGTTCGTATACATAATTATCAGAGCAGTGTTCCGAACACGGACATACTCGACGACTATCCAATTTTATTAATAGTGATCAAGTTGTTTTTTCTTTGCTCGTAGGATTAATAAAACGACATCAAATTTTTTAAGAATAAATTCATTATTGATGATAAAATAGTTAGCTAGACGCATGTATCATTGTTTTTCGTCTCTGCCCGAAAAGCTTTTTCGCATTCAGTTTTTAAGCACGCGCATATTAAACTTACAAGGACATTCCTAATCACAAAATTCTGATTTTAATGAAGTTTTACGAATACATAGAGGGGAAGTGTCTAAATTTAATAATTTTTGACTAAAAGATTGCTTTAGGATTGAAAATTACTTCTCAAAAGAATCATTGTTTTCTATTAATATATTTATTTTATAAATTATTTAAAATTAATTATAGTAGGTTTATAAATTGTGTTAATTTGAAGTAAATAATTTAATTTTATAGTATAATATTCTAAAGCCTCTTTAATTTAACATTAATAAATATTGATTTTTTTCTATTAATCTGATTTTTTTAAAAAATGGGATTAATATAAACGAAATCAATATTTATTAGTGTTGAAAGAAGTCTGTTTCCGGAATAATATATTATCCATTAAAGCTATTTTTAGAGGAAAAGGAAAATATATTTTATAAATTATTAAAAAATATCAAAATATGTTTGAATCATGTTAATTTGAAACATTTTAATTTGATAGGAATAGTTTCATAATAGATAATATAATATCCCGAAGCATCTTTAGCATTTCTTTTCTATTAATCTGGTTTTTTCTTAAAAATGAGATCAATATAAAAGAAATCAATAAATATTTATCAGTGCTGAGGAAATCTGCTTTCGGAATAATATTATCCATTGAAGCTATTTTTCATAAAAAAAGGAAAATATTTGTTTTCTAGCGATGCTCCCATCTCTATGTATATACAAAATTTTATGAAGGATCGTCGAGCTTGTATTTTTCAGACATCTCGCCGGTCCGCAGAACTTTTGCATTAGGAATGACAGAGTCTCATAATTATTAATCGTGGATATATTTTTCGATTGAGTGAACACGAGTTCGGTCACTGCCTTAGCTGCACGCGCCACACACGAAACGAGAAAATAAATAAATCGGTGTCGTATCACGAGTACGTGGGCCTTCTGATGCATCTGACCGCATAATAAAAAAATAAAAAAAAAAAAAGGAAGAAGTCAGTTCATCCTCCGAGAGAGAACGTGATCCGCCGGTGGAAGCGTATATATCTAATAATGAATTCTCGAGTGAAAAAAAAAATTAAAATCTCTTTTTTCCCTCTCGTACATTTATTTGCGACACGTCGCGCAAGAACACTCTCATCCTTCACAATTCCGAAGCTTAATCTCCTCGATAATTGACGCAAGAGCGATGTTGCACCGCGAGACAGAAATGATTTCGAATGGCTTCCACCGACGATCCAGCGTTTATCCGGATCTTCGTAGAGACAGAAAGAGAGAGCGAGGATCGCTGTACGAAGACGGTCCAGCGATCCTCCAGCGCGCTCATCCGCTCCTCGGAACACGTGCAAACGCAACAAGACTGACGATGTGTTCCTCGCGGAGGAGCGGGGAGGGAAACGGTTTTTCCGCTGCGTTTTTTTTTCCGCGAGCGCCCGCGCGAGACGCATAATAATTTATAATTGCGCCGTTTTTTTAGACAGGCGCGCTCTTCAGGAATCAAGGATAGTGTAATATAAATTAATTAATTTAGGCAATGGTTTAAGGCGTGATACTTTGGTATGGGCATAATTAAAACTTAATCAGACCGAACCAGTTAGCGCCGCTACGCCGCACTAACAAACTTGTGTCGTGTCTCGAGTAATTTTTTTTTTTTTTTTTTTTTTTCCGAGTTAAACGGAATTAATTTTTTAGCGTGAAAGAGTTTAAACTGTCCGATCGGTGTCTCCTCGCTCGATGGTCACCTGTGCCTCGAATTTTTAACTCTCGATGAATTTTTATTCGCGAATCTCTGCGCAGACGACGAGAAAAGTCACTCTGAAGAATGATAATTAATTATTTTTGTAAAAGATACTCTTCGAGATTCGGTATATAAATATACATTGAAAAATTTATTGAATTCGAATAAATATTTAATTCAATATACTGCCAAATAAATAATTTATTATTATCAAATAAATGATTTATTAGCAGTATTGACAGCAATATTTATTAATTCAAGAATTTGTTCAGTGCACTAAAGTCGACTAATCTCAATTTTGTTGAAGAGAAAAAAATCTGGAAATATCTCTTCCGATCCCTTGCCGTTATCGTTTCCGTCGAGGCACGAAGTTCCGAACGCTCTTATTCGAAGGGATAACGATTAGCGCGTTAATTATCACAGTTACTGGAGCACAGTTACTCGCAGAGCGAGGGGATCACTTCCGGTACGGAGAGTCTAATGCAGTTCCGTGACGCTCAATAAATTCGACGAAATTAATCGGGGAGTCTGGATGCGAGATAACGCGAGCGACGAATCTCGAGGAAGCTTCGCATAAATTCGTTTAAGGTCTGGAAAAACCTTGACAAAAAAATGGCGAAATTTTGTACAGAGAGATGAGAGCATTTTTTCTCGGGAACGACGGCTCTCCTTCGGGATTCGCCGCTCGTTACTCCTTCGCGCCCGAGTCTCCGCTTCGTCCACGATGTATCTGTAAGTACTTGAGTGTGCATTGTATTTTACGTTGATCGAAAATGACGGAGTAGTGCCATCTCGACGAGAGAACGCTGCGTGACGTCATACAATTATCGATGCCTTTGTTTCACGAAAATTAGCATCTGCATATATATGCGTATATCTCGATCGATTTTCGATGCTGAGTTTGAAGAGAAAAAATCGATTTATAGTAGCTTTCTGCGCAAAGATTTGACGTGTGTTTTAATTTATTAATTGCAATTCAAAAGAGAATAAATTATATTTTTTGTATTGCATGTGCAGGCAAAGTGGCACTTTGTGTGCGTGTTTTCTGTGCGGAAAGCGGCCGATTTCCCACGCCGCCATCTAGCGGCGACGCGGTGAGTGAATAAGCCGCATTCAAAGCCATTGCCTACGGCTGAGCCGCGTTCAAATTCATTGTCCACGGCTGAAGCCGTGGGCAATGTATTGAACACGGCTATTCCCGCACCGTGCCGCCGCAAGAGTGCGGCGTGCGATCGGCCACCTCGCGCACAAAGCCACTTTCCGCACTTGATACACAATATACTATTGATCCGAGAAAAGTTGAATACCTGGCTGATCTTGTTGAACATTTCTCATCGATTTTTGCGCGACGTCGACAATTAAACGCAGCGTCCAACGAAGATGAGACTACGATTGTGACGTTTCCTGCAGGAAGTACCTATATTTCTCTAACGATAATAAAGTAACTATTAATATTATTAACTTATGGAATACTATGACATATTGAGTGATTTAAAATCACACACAGACACACACACATCGTACATACACACACACACACTTACATATACTTCGTCGTAGATGCGTTTTGCGGCGACGGATACTTGGCAATTATAATTCCGGGTGTAAATCAGATTCGCGTAGAGGCGAGACAAAGATAAAAAAAGAAATAATAATTAAATAAAAAAAAAGAGAGAAAATATGATGCAAGCACGAATCCGACTTGTGCGGGTTCGCAAGATCCAGTCTATATAAATATAATATATAATTACGTCGTGTAATTATATCATGTAATTATCGCCATTTGTTGTGTTGGCAATTTCTTTATTTATCGTTTTTTGATTCGTCTTTTTGTCGTGTATTCAATTCGAGGTCGTACGGAACGATATTATAACAAGTGAGAGTATATATTATATGAACGATATATGGAACGATTTTGAGAGTGCATTACTTGTTATAATAAAAAGAATCATGTGTTACTAACATACGTCTCTCGATTCTCAATGATTGGCCTATCGATTTCCGCCGGTGACTTTCGCTTAGAAATTCGACAGCTGCCGTAATTTAATATATGTATATTTTACTATCACGAAACCGAACACTTGATACACCACTGAACGTAATAAGTGTTTGGTTCAGTCTGTGTCCCCTAAAAACCCCACTTTTTAACTTCTTCTCTTGCCTTTTCTTCTCTCGTTATCTGTTATTCCTCTCACGAGACTCCGAATGCTCATTGTAACCACAGCTGGCTTAAGACATTCAAGCGTGGGCCAAATTTATATACGAAGCTACTGATTTTATCAATATAAAACGAGAATTTTTTCATCAAAATTTAATTTTTATTTTTTCATAGGAAATTCTATTTTTTCAACTTATGTATACAATATACAAAATTATATATTTTATAGAGAGTTTGCTTCGAAATTAATATCCGATTTCATAATTTCGAAATATTAGGTCCGCTCGTCTAATGATTAAGGCAGCCCTTGCTTTTATAATATATATATATATGTAATCTCTGGAATTTTCTCTGGATATAATAAACCTCGAAAGGTTTGCAAGGACTTCTCGGTGGGGACCATCTTGCGAACAGCTCGCCACACATCGCGGAGGCAAGATTTCGGAGGATAAAACACCTTGAACGGTGATGCCGAAATACCATGTTCTCTTTTCTCGACACAACGAGTGTCCTCGAATCTTTCTATTCTATTCGCGACTACTGTATCCCCATCTCTCCCCCTGTTCTCCGCCCTCTTTCCACCCCACGGAAAGTTGTGTTTGGAGTTTTTTGCATGCGTTCACTGGACATAAATAAAAAAGACCGATGTGATAACTGTCGACCCGGAATGACCCAAGTCCTAAAAATCGAGGAGGTCGAAAAACGTCATCCTCGATGCAACGCGCCAACCTCGACACCCCTTTTTGCTAACCCCCTGCCTGCTGGTGTGTGCCAAACTGTACAGTCACAAGGAAGGATTACGGAAACTGTCTACGGACACGTGGATGATACAGGTAACGAAATTTTAAGATGCTTATTTTTTAATTTTAAGGGACTAAATTTTTCTAGCCGTAAACGCTCTAACGCAAGACACGTCACATTTTCGAATTGTATCTCGAAAACGAATTACTTGCAGGGTAGTCATATATGTGCACCATCTGAAATCGCGTGTTTCCTCGTTCTGTATATAATATATAATTTATTTTATATATTTTTTATTTATTTTATATATAATATATAATTTATTTTTTCGAAGGAGATTTTCAGATTCTGTGATACTTTCTTTCTTTGTTCCATAATGTGTTTCCACAATTTAAAGTAGATGTGTATAATACATAGGAGAGAATTTTCTCTTGGAAGAATTTTGTAGTTTGTCTGATTAATATTCACCACAATAAAAAATATTAATATGTATATAGTAAAATCGAACATATTTTATATTTTATTGTAAATATTAATATATTTTAACATAGTTTTTAATTTTATTTTAAAATTATTGAAATTTTACTATATATTTTGGTCAAATTAATCAACATATTTTATATCTTATTGTAGTAGATATTAATATTTTTTATTGCGATAAATATTAATCAGAGAAACTCTTACAAAATTTTTTATCAATGCCTCAAAATTCTCTCTTTGAATACACAGAGATTTTTCTTCTTTTTACTATTTATTATAATAATATATATATATATATATATTTTTTATATTTTTATATAAGACACTACTTTCTTTGCACGCACATCACATATAAATCTAGCAATAAGAATTTCATTATAATAATATATTTATTCTATATAAGGTACTACATATTTCTCCTCGCAATGCATATAATATAAAACCCAAGTTGCACAAAAATCGCACAGACACGAAAAAAAATCCTAGAAGTTCCCTTCACGCACACTCAACACCGCTGTACTAACCCTTAAACGCATCGACGTCGCCAAGGCTTGCATCGACTAGCAGCTGCATCCCGCTCCGTAGCTGGACGAGAGATTGCGTGGCTCGCTAGCTGAGCCAGCGAGAGTGGCTTGGCGCGTTGGTGGAATAATCGATGTTACCCTCGTATGATTGCAGTGGCACCGCCAGTGACGCCGCCGAAATAAAGACCGAGGAGGCGTAGGGCGAATCTTAAGAGAGAGAGAGAGAGAGAGAGAGACACCTTAATAATCGGCCGCAGTCGAGGAAATATCTCGGCGACTCAGCACTCACATACTACACTCTCGAGCTGCTCTCGAAGAGGGACCGGAGACGTCTTTTATGACAGAACAAAAATGTCCTCCCTTACCTGCCTGCCTGCCCCCTTTCTTGAGAATGCGAAACCAAAGCACTGCAATGCCCCTTCATCACCCCGTGACACATGCACTGTTTAAAAAAAAAAAAAAAAGCACTATACAAACGCGTTTGCACGTTCGTCCGCCTGACGATCGGATATCCAGGATCCACCCTATGAGGGAGGAGAAGGAAATGAACGAATGTACGACTAGCTTAGGACGATTCTCTAATCGTCGCGGTCTATTGTCTCTTTTAATCGACACTTTGATTCGTTTATTACGTTGTACGCGCCAGTAGATCTCTTAATTATACCATGATTGTGATGATGAGCAAATAAGGATGTTGATTTTACTCGAATTAAAACAGATACTCGTACTCTTTATTTTTCATTCGTCACTACTCTCTGTCTGTCATCGGAAAGCGGAGAAGGTACATCGCGACGAGAGGATAAAATATTCTCCTTTCATCAAAAGGAATAACCGTGCAATTTGTCGAGAGTTGCAAAACTGCAGCTATTTCGCGACGTGCTCTTTTTTTTTTTTTTCATTCGCAAGGATCCGTACATTCGTTCGAGCAAATCTCGTCCATTTAGTCCGATTAATCCGAGGACCGATCGTTTCAGATCGCCGATGTCGAGAGGAGGATGCAGAAGCGCGTTAAAAAAAAAAAAAAAGAACGAAAAAAAAAACAGCCTTGCACGCGCTGTTGCGAACCTTTTCCACTTTTAGCTCTTCATTCTTTTTTTTTTTTCTCGCCCCCATATAGGTCTCCGCCGCTCGTTAATAGTTCTCGTATATGTTATGTTGCAGTAAATGAGGTGGTCGTCGACAAGTGGACCCATTAAATGAGTGGGTCGTCGACAGGCATGAATCCCACACACACCGCCGCCATCGTAAGCCGCCACCGAGCGCGCGCAAAAAAAAAAAAGAACAAGCTCAGCCCGAATGAAAAAAAAAAAAAAAGAAAGAAAAAATAACCAGACAAAAGCACAGACAAACGGACGACACAACTGGCGCGCTTGCGTTTGTGCAAGTATATCGCATTAGAGCAGCATCGCTATAATAACAAGAGAAAGAAGCAGCAGCAGCAACGTACTCGATAACCAACACTTAGCTATCTGTCGCGACCTTCCGCAGCCAATTCGGGGACATCCCGATCGATCGAAAGCTGCGCCCGCCTCGCTGCTTTCTTCTTCTTCTTCTTTTCTCTTTTTTTTTTTTTCATTTCAATTTCTTTTCCTTTCTCCCTTTTCCGCAAGATCGCTCGCCCCGAGTTCGTCGTCCAGCGATGGCGAACGCGAAGCGAACGAGAACCGGCTTGGGGAAAAAACTCTTCGTCTCTTCGGTGTCTAGAGCCGCATTAACGTTCTTAACTCAACGACTGTGCCTTCTTAGAGCCGGTTGCGCCAACGTCGATTAAAGCTAATCTCGGTCGAGGTACCCTGGGAAATTTTGAAGATAGAGATCTGAGAGAATTGGGTAAAAAATGATGGAGTTAACAGAGGGATTCTCTGTTTATGTTAATTACGATATATTCCTTTTCTTTGTCGGATGAAACGCGAGTGAAAGATTAGCTGACTCAAAGTCGTCGGTGCAACTCAGCCTTAGTTTCCTATCCGAGCGAGGAACGAGAATGTGATATAGCTGATTGTGAGAAAGTAGAGGAGCGCTGCCTTGTACTCCTTTGACCTTTCGCTCCGCGAAGACGTGTTAATGCATATAATGCAACCCTTAACACAATCCTCCCTTCCTCTGTTCGAATAACTGTCGATCGATCGCTTGATAATCCCGAGACGACGACGACGACTTATCCGAAATCTTGGAGCGAGATCCTTAAAGTCGTGTCTCTTCAGTGAAATAATAATCCGATTTGCTCGAAGCCTTATTAATGTAGAGATGAATAGCATCGATTTAATCCCACAAATCTTGTTATTCTTCTTTTAGATGCGTTTTTTTTCTCGCCATTTTGCGCTTGCTTTCGCGTCGCTTTATTAACGCGTTTTTTCTATTTTTTCTCTCCGTGTTTCATTTTTTTTTTTTTTTATTTTGACAATCTCGCTGGACGATACATCTCTCCCCCTAAATTCGGCGGTCGTGTGTCCTCGATTATGCAAACAAATAAAGGGCGATCTACATTTTTTTAATCTATTACAGCAATCTTTGCCCCCTGATAACACAAAAGTGGAAAGTCAGTTTTCGTTCCGTTCGTAAAATTCTTCTGACGTAACAAGTCGTCTGATACGAGTCCTCCTGTATAAACTAACATCTTTAACAAAAAAAGTCAAAGGAGATACTCTCCAAGAAAAACACGAATGCGGCCACCCATCCCTTATCAGGACTCCTTTTCTTCCTTCTTTAGCCTTCGAGACGCCGATAAATCCGCGTTACAGATTAGCTGTCTGAAAAAATACACAGTCTCTCTCCCCGGTCAGCCACGAAAACGACGGAATGATCCTTCGTAGCTTGAAACGTTCGGTTCGACGACGAGAAAAAGACCACCACCCGTACCTGGAACGCTCAATGATGCCACAGTCCGTCCGCGCGCGCTCGTGTTTATCCAGCGAGATAAAGAGAGAGAGAGAGAGAGAGAGGGAGAGAAAGAAAGGGAGAATCTCGACACTCCTGTATATTCATCAGAACGAAGGAACCTACTCGCACGCACCGTTCTGGATCTCCACGGACCCCGCATCGCTGCGTGCATTCGCGGTCACGTGACGCCAGATGCTGGGGATAGATATAGGGAGAACGAATGTCGACCGGGAAGAGCTGGCTGGTCAGTCGCTTCTCGGAACGGATCGACGGAGGGGATCGAGAGTGGTGACTCCGAACAGAACGACCTGGTTTCGAGCAGTGACGTCACTTTCGCGACTGGAGGCCGAATCGCGTTTCGCTCTGCTGCCGCAGGATTTTAGGATGCTATCCTAGGATCGCAAACGGGTCCTGTGTCGGCATCGCTGAGAAAAAAAAATTATTTCCCTCTCACGAGCCGTTCCGCAACTTGATGACGAACCCTCAGTCTGAGCACTTTCACTTTTCGAAAAAAATCCGCGAGAGGGAAGCAGGATCGCGGCAAGATGCCGGCTCGTGCGGGAAGGTTCGCCTCCGGATACGCACGAAACTTACGTCACCGGGGAGTCCAGTATAAAAAAAATCCCGAGTTAAGTATAAATTATTGTAAATATATCCGTCGCGCACGCGCGGCGATATAACGGAGGAGAAACTATACTATTAAAGAGAAAAATATATATAGTTATACATATATACATTATATATATATATATATTTTTTTTGTTCGTGAGAAAGCGCATACAGATGGACGCGTCGTCGCTGCGGACGATAATAAATTATTGTTATTGATAATATCTTATTACTATTACTATTATTATTATAATTATTATAATAATTATTATTATTATTATTATCGTCATCGCTACTATATTGTTAGTATTACTGTTATCATTAAAAACGCGTCGCCGCGTTCAGGTGACGTACTTGTACTATATTGTATACGGCGCGACCTTTTTTGAGAACCGGGCTCTTCGAGCGAGAAGGATTCGACCTGCCGAGGCTCGTGTGGGATTTTTTTTCTCCTTCCTTATACTTGTTTACACGGTTGACCATTCTTCGTGGGTGACATTAGAGGCGGAATTAGCCACCTCGCGACGTTCTGATTGTTACTTAGGGAGAGAAAAAGGGAGGGAGTGACAGAGAAACAGCCATCTCTGCTCGCTCGATCTGCGACTCTCCTCGGCTTTTTCTCGGCTAAGACTGACGAGAGTTCTCGTAGCAATGTAGGATAATTAATATCTAACCGTAGAGAGAGAGAGACAACAACACCGAGCTGAGGTGACAACCGAGTATCGTTGACGTTGCAGAGAGGGAGAAATCTCGTTTTCTCGTCTACTATACTAAAAATCGATCTTGGGAACCTGTCTCGGGACGGACGTGCTACAACGTCACTCGATATCACGAAGTGGAATCGGATTCCGGGATTCAGCCCTGCGAAGAAGGGAACGCGAACGTCAACGCGGAGCCTCGTCGAACGGAGTTAGCCATTTTCACGCCTCTCTCTCTCTCTCTCTCTCTCTCTCTCTCTCTCTATCTCTCTCTCTCTCGGTGTGTTATTATCGTGTGTTGACACTTCTAGCGGTATATATATGTACGTCTTCCTGAATTTTTCTATATCTCGTTTTCGCTCCGCGCCCTCTTCTACTTCTCTCTTCTTCTATTCTTCCATCTCGTCGCGGTCCATCTTATCACGTGTCGCCGTATATCGTTCCCACGATTAGCAATTTATAATTAAGATCAACGATCCGCGACGCAAACTTTAAGGTATCACCGTCCGGGGACTCGCGAGATTTCTCGTCGACTTTGGCTCTTGGCTCTCTCGAAAGTAAGATAAGTAGTAAAAGTCATATACGTGCGACGAATCCCGGTGGAAACTGTCGCAACAGTATGTATATATACACACAATATATACATGTTTGTGTATATGTATGTACATCATTATGTACATTATATACGTGATATATTAATATATATAATTATTAATTATATATATATATAAAATGTATATAATTATATATAGTATATTAATTATATAAAATATATATAATTATATATGACATGTATAAATATATATTTAATATATTAATTATATATACATATATATAATGTATATAATTATATATATATAAAGAAAAAGAGCTCAAAAAAATTGATCCATGCACACATACATGTCGCTCGCATCGTCATCCTAATCTATCTACGCAGATACGTATCGGTAGGGATGCGTAAATCAATCACCCATCCTGTAATCAAAGTCCATCATTTTTAATGTACGTGAAATTTATTATTTCGTGGAGTGTAATATTCATATAACTTGTATAAAAAAAAAAATGAAGCGAATTTGCCCAACGTTCCAATCGTTCTCGCTCGAATCGTCTACGTTGGAGCATAATCTTAAGAACGAATTTCATTATTTTCTTCGAAAATGGTGACAAACCTTGCACATTTCTAATGTACGCCGACAGCTCTGTACGAATAAAGGTTTAGAAATAATCGAAACCCTCATCGAGTCTTGCATCCGTTTTATTTTGCGTGATCCCTCTTTAGAAATGCTTATTTAAATTAAAATAATTATGTATTTCTTTTTATTTCAGAGAGAAACATTTGAGAATTTTATTTTAAAAATTTAGTGTATAAATTAATTTAAAAAAAATTACTTTTGACGTTGATTAACTTTTTTAAAAAAGAGAGAACGTGTCTTTTCGAGATAATCGACTTAATTCGGCATTGAACGCAAATTTTAATATGCGAATTTTACAATATCAATATATATCATATATATGTATATTATTAATATATCAATATATGCTTATAAATCATATTTGCATCTTCTTTAGAGACTACAGTATGCTTAAGTCAAAACTCTTTTACTTTTCGTTTAATTTACATTATTCATGTATAAGCTTGCATTGCAAATGCAAGTGCGAATTAAATGGCAAATGAAGTCGTCATCTACATGCAAGTTAAGGAAATAGAAACGTCATTTTTTTGCAAACACGGCGTGGCAATCAAAGTGTTAAACAATTACGCAGCTACCTTGTTTGAATTATAAATTTTCCCATCGTAAAATTTTGCAGCACCTCGCGAGCGCACTTTTTCACGCCGCTTATATATGATTAACATATTATTTATTTGTGCTGTCGCGGAATAAATTTTTAGAATGTACTTCGCGCGTTAAGAATGGTACGAACACTGCTCATAAATTCCCAAGCCAAAGGTAAATAAATTTTCATCGTCTGGGAGATTAAAAAGTACAAAGCAAAACCGCACACAATTCGCGAATCGTATCCACTGTCTGGTCGACCGGGACTCATTACTGTTTTGCATTGCAAATTTAAATTGTTTTCAGCGACCACGGGATGATGCGGTCTTTGAGGATAAAATGCAAAGATGCACTACGCTCTCTATCTCTACGTAACACATATTTCAATTTTTCTACGAAACATTGCATCGCAAATGGTCGTCGTACCTCGTCGCATATTTCTCACACAATTCTAAAGAAAATAAAGATACATTTCTTATGCTATTGTAGAGAAACTATAACATTATTGTTTTGCACACGTGGATATAGATATTAAATCAAGAAAGCTGATAGTTGCGTTCAACAATGAGGCAAACAAAAATTAATTTAAAATATTTAATATTAAAACTCTTAAAAATCTAGGAAATTGCATTTCAAGTAGTATTTATACATGTAGATAACGAAAGTTTGTTTCGTAGTTAACATTTATCGGGTTTTATCTTAATAGAAATGTAATTAAAATGCTTGAGGCATTATTTTTTTGAGCAAAATGTTTAACATTGAAAATTAAACATTTGTAATAAATTAATTTTTATTATTAATTCATTAATTCTTTAAGATTAACCTTTATTGGAAAAAATTTAATTAACCGATAAATTCTGATTCTATCAAAATCTTGCCGCAGAATTCTCAATTAAAAAATTAAAAAATTATACATATAATATCAATCTCTCTTTAAATTGCAAATTATTCGAATTATGAAAATATTTATTTCTATAATTTGATGCTTATACATATACATATATTATAAAATTGCTAAAATTATAATATTGAAATACGACTACATATATATATATATATATATATATATATATATATATATATATATATATATATATTAAGATTTTTATCAAGATTATAAATTTTATTAAGATTATAGTGTAATAAAAAATTATATATGGTTTCATTAAGCAATGATAATGATGATATAAACTGATCATGAAAAAATATATGTTGCTTTTTAATTTTCTTAAGAGTAGCAGAGAGGTGTATATTTTCTCTTAAAATTTTATATATTATTACAAATATTTTAATTTTAATAGTTTGTAATTAATCATTAATTTTTATATACAATTATTTATGCGGTATACACATAATCATAATTAATAAAATGCGAGATAGATATAGAAAAACTAATTTTTTAAAATTCTCATTTTTTTTTATAAAGAAATATTTTCGTATTATCTTATAAATATGATATTTTCTCTGGAAATATTTTAAAATTTATACTGAGAAAGAAGTTGATTCAACAATGCGACACAAGAAATTCTCCATAAATATAAATGTATATTTGTCTTTACACGTCGTTCTAGATTCAATGTGAATGAATACATTTATATATTATAGTAGAATATTTTCTCTGATATCACATTGTGTAATATGAAGCAAACTTTAATTTTGCAGAATTTTCTGCGAAAATATGAATTTTTTTACGATTTTTTATTCCTTCTTAAATTTCTAAAGTTACAATGTTGCCAGCCTTAAACTTTCAGTTTTTAAAAATGTAAGAAATTCTTGATCTTTAGGTTTGTGTAAAGTTTTATGTTCTCCTTGAGAGAAACTGCTAATCTCTTCAAATTTGCGTTAAAACTTCGATATTCGCCACTGCACATCTCTTCAAGACTAGAATATAAAATATTTACCATTTTCATACTATAAAAGTTTTAATCTTTGAACTTTAGATCTGTCTTTGAGAATCGAATCCCCAGGAGATTAGAAAACACTTATCTTTTTTATTTCTTTAATTTCTTTTTTTTCTACACATTTAAATTCAATAAATTTTATTTATTTCATTTAATTGTGATCGCATTAATTTTTTTATTTCAAGGAATTGTTATTTCATTTTTATTCCATATCATCTGATTTTATCAGCAATACACAGCGAATTATGCGCCAAAATCCATGCATATATTTTCACGTCAAGTTGGAGAAAATATTTCTCGTTTCTATGAAAAATATCAAAATGATACAGTTCGCGCGCGACCCGGCTTTACATTATAAATTCAAATTGTTTTCAGCAATCATAGAATGATACGAACTTTGAAGACGGAGCATAATGCACATTTTTCGTCATACATATTTCAGTTTCATCACGAAATGTATTTGTGCATCGCGAATACATATTTGTTATTTATCTTTGAAACTTAACGCGCCATAGATTGTTATACTGCTAATATTTTTTGCATCAAAAGCATACATTTCTGCTAGTTTATATTTATTATAAAATACGCACGATTTATTTATGAGCCTTTTTTGATAATTTTAATTTTTCTCGTCGCAAGAGAGAATTGCTGAGTTATACAGATTTATATCGTAAATCATTTCGCGCGTATAGAATTCTTGCTTCTTTTGCATATAGATTACAGAACTGCGTTTGTTCGCGCGCGCGT